ACCAGTCACCTGGACCTGATGGTGTGCACCCACTGATCCTGAAGGAGCTGTCAGATGAACTTGCAGCGCCACTGTGCAACCTGTTCAATTTGTCATTCACTCAAGGGCGTTTATCACGGCAGTGGAAGGACCCTGTCGTTGTTCCACTGTCCAAAGTTAGGGATAGGATTGACCCTGGGAACTACCGACCAATCAGCCATACTAGCGTTGTGGGTAAAGTAATGGAGCGACTGGTGGCTGCACAGCTTCGGCAGCATATGGTGTGGCACGGTCACCTGTGCCACCAACAACACGGTTTCCGGCCGGGTCGCTCATGCCTCTCAGACCTACTACTTCCGCGTGAATGCTGAACTGAGGACAAGGCTAAAGGACACGAAACGGACATCATCTTCGTGGACTTCAGCAAGGCCTTCGACAAGGTGCCGCACGAACTCCCTCTGCGAAAGCTATCCAACCTAGGTGTAGGTGTGATATTGCGGAATTGGCTGCAAGACTTCCTCATCGATTGTAAATTCTGCGTCCGTGTTGGCAAATCGCTCTCTGCGTGATATTCCAATCCCAGTGGGATCCTCCAAGGCTCGGTTCTTGGTCCATTGCTCTTTGTGGTATATGTGAACGACCTACCTGGTCAACGTGCAGCCCATCCCCCATGTATGCGGATGACATCAAAATCTGGCGTACAATCAAGGATCCGAATGATCGAAGTTCTCTTCGAGCGGATTTGAACAACCTGGCTCAGTGAGTGGACACTTGGGCTCTTCCAGTCAACACAACAAAGTGTGCTCACCTGCATTTGGGGCTTGCTGACTCAGAGATAGTCTACAACTTCCAGGGAACCACATTGCGCACAACATCGCGCCAACGAGACCGGGGTATTGCGGTTACGTCATCACTAAAGACCCGAGAAAAAACCGATCGGGTCTGTGCTAGCGCATGGAGCATTATGGGGCCTATTCGGCGGTCTACCAGCTCACGATGGACGCTTTCAGGCTGCTATGCGCTTCCCATGTCAGACCAAGTCTTGAGTACGGTAGTGCGGCGACATACCCCTGCACGACCGGTGAACTGGCTAAGTTGGAGCGTGTACAACGTGCAGGCACACTAGACTCGTTGGACTACGCGGGACCAGCTATGAAGGTCGTCTACAGGCTACTGGTCTGTTCCCAATTACGTATCGACGCCTCAGGGGAGATCTCATCTGCCTGAGGAAGATCCTGAGAGTTGATATGGGCCTGCAGCTGCAACAGTACTTCCCTTTACGGGCAGAGCACAACACGCAGGGGCAGTCTCTCGCGTTGCGGAAACTTCAGTCAGTTGGTCTTCCGTTAGTCTACCGACTCTCGCGCAGGTCAACAACACTCTGGAATTGGCCTGATAGCCAACCTTACTGCTTTCTGACATAAGATCAGGGTGTTTTCGCTATTCAAACACCAGTCTTCGATACTGTTTATGGTTGATCACAGCATCGAGTGGAGAACTATGCAGCTTGGGACCGTCACAGTCGTGTTCCGTTTTGTATCACCATAACCTCTCTTGTGTCCACTTCACTTAAACTGTCATCTTTGACCCACTCCCACTCTCCCCTAAAACTATACTTGAACTTTCATACGCTAATCCGTTTCGCTCTCCAATCAGATTTGTCTAAGTCATACCCCCAATCACATGTGTATATTTCCACTGTCACCCACCATTAGTTCTTTGTTCGTGACAATTACTCCTTTTCTTACCAAGTGTGCTGTGACTGAGTTAACCTGGCGAGTCTATTGATCGGGCTGCTTGTTTTCCTTCCACCCATGACCCGTATCGTTGTCATTTTTAGTTGATCGGCCCTACCTATCTATCTATGCTCCCCTTAATTGTGACACAGTTAGCATCGGCGGGGCCGCTGATAGACACGCACGCACAGATTCAGTCATCTCGATTCATCTATGACCGTACACTCTTGCGAAAGATTGGTCGTACCAATCAAGGGAGGAAACGAGGTCTAACAGGGCAACAAGTTGGAATGTGGATGGGTGTGCCTGAATGTTCCTTCGATGGTGGACGTGAGAGAGAGACAGGAATGTTGTTGGAGTGGTGCCTTCTACGGGACGGACAGAAATTTCAGCGAATTCGACGAGCCTACAGTAAGCGAACCAGGTATTACGGGAAACCAGAAAAGTTGGGGGTATGGTGACCTCCCGGGAGGGGGGGGGGAGTGTTAGCTGGTTTGCAGTCGATGAGCGGGTCATTTTGTTACAGTTCTCTGTTATCGATTGCCAGAAATCAGCGCCTAATCTTGTCAAAGATGTATCAAGTTGACCGGTCCTCAGTGTTCAGGACAAACTAGTCACGGCTGTTTCATCACAAAAACGCAATTTTCAATTGGTGCTTTAAAGATGATTAATGTAGGGCAGGGGATCGATCGGTAGGACAGCATGAAACACCTAGCGTCTACTTTTCGCTGTGTGCGTTCACTGGAGTTTGGTGGAACAGATACTATTGCGCACGATTATGACTGGGGTTTTGAGTCAAAACCTTTTGTAGAAGCCAAGGCGAAATAAAAACTGAAGAAGACACATACGGCGAGATGTCAACATTTAGTATCTATATTTATTGTGCTTTCTTTCGGTCTTGATGTGATGGGTGAAGAGGATCCAGTGTATCATAAAACCCACCTGTTTAGGTCCCTCCGCATGGTGTTTACCGACTGAGATGCTAATTCACGTCGAACTCTCTCGAACTGCATGAACAAGCTTCCGGGGACTCGAGCTGATTATTTCAAGCACGATCCTCGATTTGATGATGGTGATCGTAATCTGTGCCTGGGTGGGTCAATGAGTTGCAACAGTCCATAAAACCCGTCACACGATGCGGTCACCTTGTGATAGTGCACACTTGGATGCGAATGCAACGCTGAGAGCGATACAATCTCCGACCAGCACAGCGTGACACGAGCTGGACACGCACGGGAACAAAACAAAGCAAAGATTATCTGAGTTTTGTATTACAAACAAAATGCCCGAATGGACAGAAATAGAAACATGAGATATGCAGGAGCAGCAGTGCGTGAGACGAGGGTAGAGGAAGCTGTATACAATATGCGGACATACGGGGGACGGGACGGATAAATATGCCTCTAGAGAGAGATAGAGAGAGACAGAGTTGATAATGGACTACTATATGGACAAACGGAGAAGTTCGGAAAACCGGTCAATCGCTTGTTCGAACCCGAACCCGCCCAGGTCCGGCCCGGTTAGTTTGGTGCCCACCGAGTGTAGGTCAGCAGCTGCAGCTGCAGCTACCGATGTGGAGTGTGCTGTGGTTGTCGAGGGAACATGCGGTGATGTGGCACGTTGAAGCGCCCGAGCTGTGCTTGACGAACGACTACTCGGGCTATGGGAGGAACGATGACCCAACGAATGGCGACGACGGGAACTGCGGCCAAGTAAATTACACGATTTCTATAAACAGATGGGAAAGTGAGAGCTATCATTAGAACATCCGGCAAGATATCGTAGTGTGCACAACGCTGGAATTGAAGGACTAGGCAGCACAAAGCAAGTTCAATCGTTTTGATGTGAATGTGATGATGAAGAGCAATGAAAATTCCAATTTCACAAAGGAGTGATTTAGACGCGACGCAACGTTATTGCTGATAAGACAAGGCGAAAGTACACAGAAAAACGAATCAAAATGAGACCTCGGATAGAAGAATTAGACACGTACAAGAAACAGAAACGTATGATGAAACAACTATGCTAGAGGTCGCAAGTGAATTTGTGTGAAAAACAATCCCAGATAAAGAGGACCGAATCAAGGCACGGTTTGGGTTGAGTGGACCAAGCCGGAAAGGACGGCTCAGTGAAACAGCAGATACGGAGGGGTACATTCTTCTCTATCCTATTTCTCTTCGCGCATCACTAACTCCAGCATTAGTGACGACTGCTCCTCCCTTAGTTTCTCCCTAAATTCTGATATGGGGTTTGCCCCTTTTTACTGTATTCACTTTCGTGTAATAAGAAAAAAACAAAACGCAACGTGGAGTTAAACTGATCAACTACACACACACACACACACACACACACACACACAAATCTACATCTATTGGTTTGCCTCGTGTTACGCAATCGTTTAGTTGCGAACTGGAGAGCGAAACAAGTGATTTGCGAAAACTGATGGAATGTGAACATATGGTAGATCGGGTGAAAAAATCAGGTAGATGTGAAGCATTCACATGGTGAAATAGCGTCTCACTGGTGTATTATGAAGAGGTTGCAGTATGACGAAGTCAGGTGGTTCGCGAAGTTCCGATAACTCGCACAAAATGTC